GACCGTCGGGTTGGACATTCTAGAGAGCTGCTCAGTGCTTGAGTGAACTGACACATGAAGGTCCCTGGCTTTGCCCATGTTTCCCGACCACCTGCTAAGTGACAAGCACCGTGTCAGTGCTGAGGGCACAGTGATGGACAGAACACCCGGCCTGCAGGGAGGGGGCCCAGATGTTAACGCAGAAAAGGAGCCCATTGTGCGGCATGTGGGGAGGTGAGAGGGAGGGAGGGAGGGAGGGAGGGAGAGGGTCAGGGAAAGTGGATGGCTGAAGTGGGCTGGGAAGGTGTGGTTAGCATTTTGAACATTAAGATCTCCATAGAGCTCATTGAGATGTAAAAATTTGTGCAACTCTTTGGAGAAGATGGGGGAGTAAGTTGTGTTTTCCCGGTGGAGGAAAATCATTCTCAGCAGAAAGGAACATCCAGTGACCCTGGAAACAGAGGAGACAGAAGAACGGCAGCTTTCAGAATGTTTTTAGCATTCATGTGGAGTGGTGAGTCCTCAATAATTAATTTTTTCAAATACTTTTAGGGCTAAATTTGGGCTACTCTGCACAAGAGAAGTGGCTAAAGATGTAGAGAGAGATTGTCAGACAATTGCTTAATTTTAGAAAATTCAAATCCAAGGACCATCAAAAATAAAAATTAAAAACGCAGAACATCAAGTTTACTACTCTTCAATTATTTGGCTTGTTAATTTAGTTAATCAGTATTTTAAATTTGAAGCTCTCGAAATTTGTAAAATATTTATGAGAGTGAAGAAACGCCACGCAGAGATAGTGCTGAATAATAAATCTTTTAAATAAGGAAATGGAAATGTCGTTTAGCATTTTTGTTATTTGCTTTCATTTGAGCATGTCAAATACCCCAGGCCAGCAAGATGGCAGACCTCACTCAGTGCACGTCAAAGGAGAGGACCGGTTTTTCGCAGAAAGCTTTGTCAATGTGAAAACGTGCGTGGAGAATGACGTAAGTTCCCACTCTGCTCCACATCTGGCCTCTAAACAGGTTAAGGCTGAGCAAGTGTGTGGGGTATATTTGATGAAGTCTTGGCTACGAGGTTCAAATGCTTCTGTCCTGTCAGTCAAGCCGACCCTGAGGTCCAGCTGAGATGTCACCAGGGGCCCTTGCCCCACTGCAGACTCTGAGCCACAGTCCCCAGCCAGCTCTGCAGGTGGTGTCACCCCTGCACTGTCTCCCCCAGGAACCTGGGGGCTCATACCTGTTTCTCGTAGTAGAGAGAATGTTGATATTCTAAAGGCAATCACAGATCGAGGTATGCAAACTAAATTTTCTATTTTACTGAGGCAAATAAACTGATAGGAAACATAATTATTTATAATGTGGTTACATAGCACAGTAAATAATAGCACTGAACAAGTTTGAGAGAAACTGTCCACTGTCCACATAACTTTCTGCAGTATGTGTATTTTCAGAGGCAGCCACGTTCTCCAACTTAAGAGCTGGGTGACTCTGCAGTCGATTGTGGGTGATCATGGAATCTTGTAAGAAGCCGCGTGGGCTGCCCCTCTCAGGTGTCCTGGCCCCCTGCAGCACCCCTCCCACGGTGCTTAGTTACCTGAGCACCGTGAGTCACTGAGACACGCTCCTCTTTCATCAGCCCTTGGAAGGCTCTGTGGTGCGATTTCACCACGGTTGTTCTTTGAGCAGAGTCAACACGCCATCCAAAGTCCCTAAATCCCGGAGGGATTAATGTAAGCTCTGAAGGGCTGGGATGGTGTAGACTCACGTGTGCGCACATGGCTGGTACCTGCTAGGTGTGCACAGCACCTCTCCTTGCTTGGTTTTAAATGTGGCCAAGTGACTGTCCTGTGAACGTTTCAAGGAAACCCACCTGGCCACGTCACGATCTACTCATCTCCAGAGTCACAGCCCTGGGCAGTAGCTCACAAGGAGCACTGGAAGCTCTTGTCTGCTAGTCAATTGTGGAGCAAGATGCCAGGCTCACATATTTCCAACACATAGATGCTATTTCCATGTTGATCAGCTAAAATTCACACTCTCCAACTGCACATTCTGGCTTCGTGCAAGACTATTAAAAGGTAAGAGAAATGATTCAAATGTCCATCGGTCCACAGAGGGGCAGCTGAGCCTGTCTGCAATGTGCCCACTGGCGATCTTCCCCCAGGCTGTCCAGCCTCTTGCGTTCTGACCATGGAGCCCAGGCCTGGCCTGCGGCGCGGTCCCCCTTTTCACAGTTGAAGGAGCGCCTTCATCTGCCCCCTTGGCGGTTCCAGGCCGACTCCCTCATACAGGGGTTTGTTTTTCTGCATTAAGAGTCTTGTCTACAGAGCCGAAGCCTTCACCCCACGCTGAACACAGCATAAAAGCCACCACATCAAACACAGGAACACTAATCACTGATAACTATTCTCAACGACTGTAAGTGATGATTTTCCTGCTGTGCTGCCAGAAATTCAATTTCTCATCTAAAATTCATCTAAATTGCTTGCCCATGAATTAACAATTCTGAATGCTAACAGAGATGCAGAATTTTATCATCTTTTAGCTGCAAGTTCTGGGAAATGTAATTGGAACTGACAAAGCCTGCCTAGGCTTCAACCTGCTCCTCACCTCCTCACCTACAAACTGCACAACTGCCTGAATATGCACGCCTATGCACACACACGTGTGTGTTCACATGCATGTAAGTGAGTACACGTGTATGGCCAACAGAGAAGTGAACACGAACAATCATGTAACCACAGAGCACGTGAAGCCCTCTCAAGGAAAGCACAGCTCACAGTGTGTGTGACTGTAGCTGCCCAGGGACAGGTTGGCCTGGGAGGGTCCCCAAGGAGGAAGCATTTAAGGTGAGGCGTGGGATGAGCCAGCCCCACTGAGAAAGCGGGCAGAGTCCCAAAGGCAGGTGACCATGAGGAAGACCAGGACGTTGGGAGAGATCTAACGCCAAGAAGTGCTGTGTTTGGGGGAAAATCCCCTAAAGAGCCACTCAGGAAGTGTGAGCCTCTCCTGCCTGGTCCGGTTGAAGGCCACAGGAGGGTTCTGCTGCTGGAGGGTCCTGGCTTTTCCACTTCAGGCCTTGGCCTGGGTGAACCATGCACCTCCATGTTTCCACTCGTTTCAGAAAGTGGATTCTGTAGGCCGCTGGGTGGATGATGGAGCCTGGGACCCTTCACAACAGTTCTCCAGGCCCTATCCCTTTAGTGTGGCCGTCCGCAGGGCTGGAAGAGCACTATGGGAGCAGACCTGGACATCACGGTGCCTGTGGTGGAGGGTGGGGTACAGGGCTCAGCAGACATGGATATGAGGGAGCTTCAAAACACGCACCCATTCCGCAGTGACCTCTGCTCCAGAGCTGCCTGGGTGCCCTCCCCTTCAGTGCGGGCCGGGGGGGTTCCCTCCCTGCTCCCTAGAGAGTGCAGAAGAGTGGCCGCCACACAGCTCAGCTGATGAGTGGTTGCTCCGGGCTTGCTCTGTCTCCCTCATGTCACTGTCATGAAAGTCAGCTGTCAGCCTTCTCCTCTGCACTCATGTGCACAGGCCCATGGGGTGAGAAACTGAGGCCTCCTGTCCATGTCCAAGCGCAGCACCATTGGGCAAGTGGATCCTCCAGATCCTTCAGCTACCTGGGGTCCTGATGGACAGCTGGAGCCACCTCCAGGGAGCCTCAGCCAGAATCTGCTGCTAAACTGCTCTGAAACCACATGAGATCTTAATGCTGGTCATTCTGGCCTTCCCAGCTCTGAGTAATTGATCATACAGCAAACAATAAACGATAGACACCAACATGGTCTCTTTAACTTGCAGGTTGAACTTCATTATTATTTGGGAAATACGCTTATTTTTAAAACTTCCATCTATCTTCTGTGCATCAGCATAATCAATGCAGACTGCCAATTTGGATACACATGTATATATAAGAATACATCAGGAGATTCAATAAGTGAACACACACATGCTCTTTGATTTAACTACAGCTTAATTTGAAGATAATAAATCAAAGTACAAATTAAAGTTGAGACAGATTTCTCTACTCTGAGCAGGTGACATGATTTCTCTGAGCTACTTTTCTGCAGCTGTGAATTTGGTCTAGATTAGACGGGTCTCCGACTGCCGCCGAACCTGGCACATGCCAGACATTGGTACTGGAAGATTCCCGAGCATCTTTGGAATCCTGTGGGTGCAGAAAAGGATGCCTACTTTCTCCCTGAACCTCATCCAACACAAGACTGGAGGCTATACTAAAGTGACAGCAGGGACTTGGGCTCCCTGAGGCGTCCACTGTCTCCAGTGCCAGCACTGAAGGTACTCTCCCCTGCCCTTGCCTTCAGGGGAGGAAGCCGGGGAGCTGAAAATGAGAGCCCCCAGCAGAGTTCTGGCAAGTCTCCAGGGCTCTGGTTCAGACTGCAGCACTTAGGAACTGGAATCCATGATCTCCGGCACCACGCCTCTGCCTCCGTGGAGGGGCTAGGATTTCCCCTCGGCTTCCTGGAACCCACTTGGCAGGGGTCCCTCGCCCTAACAGAGTGCATTAGGCCATCAGAGCAGCCAGAGGGTCCACGTTCCCTTGAAGTGTCCAGGAGACCCAGCAGAAGTGGCAGCTGCTCAGAAGGGCCCCTAGGAGGCAGAGATGCCAGGTGGCCCAGCCCCAGGGCTGAACAGGAGCTACAGCAAGGTGCAAAGGGTCCAGGCAAACCGAAGTGGGTGGGAGGAGGACATTCAGGCTCTCATCAGCAAACAGGGAGCAAACCCTGAGCTTCCTGGCTGAGACTCAGTGCTCACAGAGGCCAGCTGGGACCGGACAGTGGCCTGGCCAGGCCAAGGGGCAGCACCCCCCAGTCAGCCAAGACTGTGTGGGGGCCCAGCAGCCACGTGTCTCACAGAAGCATCCTCCACTTCTGCCACAGATGCCCTGTCCACCCAACAGGGGACATCTTCTCAGGGAGAGGAGGAGGGAGGAAGCTGGACTCTGAAAGTTGTGGTTCACATGAAAGGGACGGACGGGGCCAGGGAAAGGTCACCAGGAAGCAACGTGAGCACTCAGGGGATAGCGGCTTCCTGCTGAGGGTGAGCAGGACTGGCCTCTCTCACCCAGTGTCAGAGGCTGTGCGTCCTCCCACAGCCAGGCCAGGGTGGCGGGGCCTCGGCCCCCTGCTCCAGGGGCTGTGCCCTGTGTGAATGGCAGAGATTTTCAAATGAGGAGGAGAAAAGCACTAAGTGGACAGAAAGGAGCCCGTTGGTGTCACACGGCCCAGGTCAGACCCAGGCCCCACCCTGGGCACCGCCCTCACCCCAGCACGCCTCCCCTCCCAGGCCCAGGCAGCACGGCCCTCTGCTGTGCCTCCACATTCATGGGCACAGGTGACGCTCAGTCACTTGTTGGAGTGGTCACCCCGAGTGGTCCCCCCTGGAGGAAAAGCTCGTAGTGGAAGGGAGGCTGCTGTCTCCCTGAGCACCGGGGGCTCCCAGCATGCATCAGGAGGTGGGGAAGCCGGCAAGGAGGGGGGACACATGGCCTTCCAGGAAGTGCCACAACTTGGTCCTCGTGGGCGGGTTCCTGATGGGTTCTATGGGTTTACAAGCACTTTCCCAGAACAACAGGATTGTGAGACTCCCCACCATTTGAATTGAGGGGGCTTTAGGATGACTTCTAACTGTGGAGTGGAGGACCCGGCCCGTCTTTCTGTTCCTGACTTGAGCTGGACAGGGGTGGATATGTGACATCACGCATCCATGTAGGCCCCCCCGGAGCTGGGATTGCCCTAAGCAGGTCCTCACATCAGCAGTGTGACCTGCCCCACAGGCAGGCTTTGGAGGTGTGATGAAAGAACCCAAGACAACATCATCTCACCAAGTGGAAATAAAAATGAGGCTGTTCCAGGTATCAGCCACATCACCCCACTGCATTTACATTTGCAAGTTAAAATGGGACTCTACATTTAGCAAAGCAACAGGAACCCTCCAGTTCGTTGGTGGTGGTGGTGGCGCCAGCTCCCCAGGGATCGGGCCCTGAGGTTCTGCAGACTGACCCACGTCCATGTGAACTGGCACTGCAAAGCTGGCCTCCAGCAAGGACAAGACGTGGCATCCTCCAGGGTACCCTGTGTCCTCTGCGAGTGAAATGTGGGGGTCTGCTCCTTTCTTCTGTCAGTCTGCCTTCACCACCCAAATCAGAGTAAGCGGAACCATTTCTTCCTTCATTGAGTATTTCTCTGAGTGCTAAGCGAGCAAGCTCCCAGAACTATTGATGTTCTTAACAACCATTTTGAATACGAAAACCAACACACGTCACTGATTCTCCGCAGTGTTTTCCACACATTCTCCACGGCAGACACCTGAGTCCTGCATCGGAGGCAGAGCTGCTGGCAACGCAGATTCCACTTCATTTTTATTGTTTGAGCGGAAGCTGTTTGCAAGCCTGGCTTCCGAGTCAATGTTTTCATGTGGGAACAGAAGGTGTAAAAGGGAAAATATGTCTCACTCTTTCCTTCAAATGGAACCTAAAAATGTTTTCCAAGAATGCACCGGGCAGATTTGCCTGTGATTTCTTTTTGGATTATCTAAACAAGCATTCGACAAAAAAAGCAAAATAATGTCTTAGAAAACAGCAGAGGGTCTGATCACGGTGGGTCTACATTGATAAACTCTCAATGATCACAGGAGAGCAAAAGGTTATGTTGTCAAAGCTTGTTTATTTGTGTCTTGTCTCCCTGGAGAAAAAGATGTGAATCCCTGTGAATCAGAAGCAAAAGAATCAATCAATCTGGGAAGTGTAGGGTCAGGAAGAGTAGAAATACTCAGCATGGTGCCGCAAAGATTCTGAACAGTTTGCTTTCTTTTATTTATCTGCGTGATGTATATCCCAGTTCAACATCTCAAGATGCAGTAAAACCTGTTCCTCTCTACACAGCTTCCTGTTCAGCAACGGGCCTTCCTTCCACGTGAAATGTCCCTGGGGATTATCTGGAATTGGAGCCACCATAGAATTTCTGCAAGAGAAGAACAACCCACTGAAAATCTGGAGCTGGTTACGCCAGGAGGAGGAGCACCAGCTTCTCCCAGGTCTTGGGAGGCCAGCATCAGTAGATCTGAGCATTTGCACAATGATTATGAAATGTCCAGCAATTTTCATGAATCCTCAACTGACATTTAGGGAGGTTTGACATTTTGGGAGGTTTGACCCTTGGTAATGGAAGGAAATATGGCCGCAAAGCTGTCTGCAATTCTTAGGTGAGCGTTGGCGTGTCCTTGTACAAAGAAAACCTGGTCGTCCCAGGATGGAGCTCTGCACTCTCCAGCCTTCCTGGACTGGCCACCAGGCAAACAGAGGCTCCAGGGTTCCAGGAGGTAGCTCTTCTCCACCGTGGCCTCTACAGTGGTGGCCACAGGTGGGTCCATTCCTCTTCCTTCATGGAATTCAGAACGGAGGCCCAGTGGAATGAGCTGTGTTGCCTACCATCCTCCTGAAAGCTCTCCAGTACAAGGAGCCAGGCACTCGTCCACTCGGGCAGCTTACAGAGCAGAGGTTGATCTCGCCCTCTGGAGGCCGGGGTCCCAGCTCAAGGCCCCAGCGTTGAGCTGAGGGTCCTCGAGGCTTTCTCCTTGGCTTGCAGAGGGTCCTGTGCTCTCAGCTCTAACCTCCTCTTCACAGACGCACACCAGTCGTGTGGCACCCCAGCACACCCTAATTAGCCTTTAGCACTTCTTCAAAAATCCCCTTTAAATACAGTCACCCTCTGAAGGACTAGAGTTCAGAACGTCAACATAAGAATTTGGGGGGGGTGTCACAAATTCTGTCCATAACATCCAGCCCGTTTGTAAACCCTGCCTGAGCAACTCCAGAGGAGGGCAGGAGGTCATCAGACCCAGTCCTGCCCTTGGGAGCTCACGGCTAGCAGACAGCTCGGGCAACACACACAAGACAGTGACAGATGAAATCTGGGTTAAATGAAGGTTTGCATTTTCATGAGACTTCTTCCTTCTGTCCTTTACAATTTTGAAAAAGGCTTTTTCTTTCTTCTCAGATGCAACACTCGAGAGAAAGCAAGAACAAAATCTAACTACAAGTGTTGCCTTTGTGTCTGGGTTTGAAGGCTGGTTCTGGTGGGAATATTCAAAATGGATGCAAATGTAAAACGCAGGTCGTGATGATCTGAGCAAGATGGACCAGGACTGCAATGTCACTTTTGTGTGGATGTGGCCGGGTCTCCAGTTCTGTGAAGACTGATTTTCTATTAAAGCCTGGTTTTTGTTACTTTATCTTCCCCCGTGTTTGGCTTTCTACCATGTAATGGGAAATTAGTAGAAACACATTGAAAGCATCATTGTGAACAGGTGCATGAATCAAGCAGCCCATGTTTAAATGACAGCTGAAGCATGAAAGCAAAGAGTACAGGATAAATGTGTGTGTAATTTTAGAGTTAATAATTATGTTGCATAATTTTCTTTGGAGGAAGAGTTTATAATAACATTTTTAAAAAGTGCCAAGCAAAGTAATTACACACTTGGCAAGCCATAAAAACTAAACCATTTGGCAAATGCCTCATTAACCAAGTTCTCAGGTCAATATAAGGTTTTATTTTATGTAAAGCAGTAGATTAAATTTTTTAAAAAATAGGGCTTACTTGTTACTTTATGGGTTTATCATTTTTTCTTGTAATTACAATCTTTCTTGCTAATAAATGTTATAAATGTGATCCTCAAAGTCAACATGGCAGAAGCAAGATGGACCCCTCGTTTGTGGACATCAAATGGAAATTATTCCAACGAGGAAAGCAAACCCCCACCATGGTTCTGATTCCCAAAGAGCCAGCATCATTATTTCCATCTCCATGGAGACAGGACTTCAACATTTTGCTAAAACGACATCTTGGCAGCCATTTAGCTAACAGCTACAGGAGTCATTTTGAGGACAGGGATTTTACTTTGTGAGTTTACCCATTCTTTTGGAAAGTCCTGACAGTGGTCCTGCTTATCTGGGTTACATTCTATTACTGGTAGCTCCCAAAATGACCCAAGTTTAAGGGAATGAAGCTTTCCATAAACCACTGGACCACCGATTCCCTTCCACCAGGCTCTCACCTATGCTAGACACATGCTAATCAATACCAGCCAGTGCCCAACTCATTAGCAAACCTAGGAACACAGCCCAGTGGACAGGGAGGAGGCCAGGTGGACTTGGCTAACCTTCTCTTACTGATTGGTTATATATAATTTTAAAATAAAGTCTATGCTTTTATTTTAAAATTTCTACAAATTCCAAATAACTTAAAAGGGTGCACAACACCAGCACTTCCACTAAGTAAATTAATAAGTAGCAACAATGTACAACCAAACCACTCCCCTCCCAAGACCCATCCATGGGGGTTCCCTGAAGCTTGTTTTACAATTGATCCTTCACTTACTTTCCAGATTTTTTTCTCCCATTGTATAATTAAGAAACAAACCCAAGCATGCTATACTTGCTGGGTTTCACTTTGTTTCCATTGGCGGATCCTGTACCTTGGGACATTTCACATGTCCATCCACTGTTGAGAGCCACAGCTGAAGGGGCCCCAGCAAACTTCCAGCTGATTGGCTCACCATGGCCCCAGCAAACTTCCAGCTGCCAGCTGATTGGCTCCTCTGTGGTGATGCTCATTGGGCTGTTTCCCCGCCCTTTCAGACCACGGAGCTGCTCATTGGGGGACTCTTTTGGCTCAGCTCATGCGACCCAGCCACTCGGCCTCAAGAGCAGGAGGAGTGGGGGGTTGAGAGGCTTGTGGGAAGCCGGTGGTGGCAGTTGGGCTCTGAGGGATTCCTGAAGAGCTTGTGTGGTGCGGCGTGTGTGTTCTAAAACTAAAGTGCGTTTCTGCTTACAAGTGGCTCGTGAATTGTGCCCAGCCAGACTGCGGCAATCCACGATGACCCTCCTGGCTGCAGAGGATCGTGTTTGGCACAGGCTCCACAACCTCTTCAGCTGTGCGGCACAGGATGGCATTTCTGTTTTGTGCACTTAAAGCAATTACTGAAAAAATCATCTGTGGATCTGTCTTTGTTGGCATAACTGTTATTTCCATAGTAGGCACCGAAAGTTGAAATCCTTGGTCAAAGAGTCACATGAGGTTTTGATTTTGGTAAATGACTCTTCAGGAGGCGGAGCGGTTCACACCCTCGTCAGTGGGCCCCTGGGTACCCCGCACAGCCTCTCTCACTTTGAATGGTTCTGCCTTTGCTTTGCTCTCCCTGGCCATAGACATGTTCCCTTGGCGTTCTATGTTGTCTTTATTTGATTATTTGTGATGTGTGGGATCTTTCCGTGGGTTTGAGTTAGGCCCTGCTTCCTGGCTAAAACAAAGGGAATCAATGGATTTTTTCCTAAGCTTGAACCGGATCATTATTAACTCTGCCCTAAGGGGAGATGAGGGACAGCAGCACTGGCTGACACCGGTGAGCACATCTGCATTATGTCATTGACTGTGTGTGGCAATGCTTATTTACTTAAATCATTCAAAACAAGGTGTTGGGTATCTACTCTGCCCTAGGCTCTGGAGGAGGGTGAAGAGGCCCAGGACTAACGTGGCCACGGGGAAGCTGATGTAGAGCCACAGCGAGGTAAGAGCTTCTTTAGCTTTTCACGACAAAAACCTTTTTTCAGTCACTGTACCCTAGCCCAAACTAAAGGAGAACTGATTAAGCCCCAATTCCTCTGGAGGGGAACCACCCTTCTAAAAGGCTGTTTCCTTTTGAATTCCAACTCACCCTGTTACCACCTTACCGGCCTGTGGCTGCTGCCTGTCCCATGTGAAGTGCGGCCTCTTCTGTTATAATAGCAGAAGCACACCAACAGGTGACCTCCAAAAATCATGTTTGAAAACAGATAAGTGCATTTAAGTATAATTGATTGCACAAGTAACAACGCCCAAAGTGATTACACAGTCTAGTACTTACAAAAATAATTACACTTCAGAAAATCAAAATTAATTTGTACACTTCTGATGCACTTTTGAGGCTGTTGACATTTTATTGTAGTGCTTCTAATGAAATGAAAATTATTAATAATTGTTCCTACTTGAGTGTGACAAATGTCATTTGGCTGGAGAGGCAGAGGCACCACTGAGCACTGCCAAATTATAATGTGGTTGAAAGTTGGGGAAGGTTATTAACAGTCAAAATGGAGTCAGGCGCCTGCATTCTGCTTCCACCGGCAGCTGACAGCCTGTACGTCCTGAAACGGAAGTGTCTGGACATCTGTATAATTGTCTCATCCACTTCAAAGGCCAGGCGACTGGACTGGCAAGGGCCCACTTGGAGTGTGCCCGTCGACCACAGTGTGCACCTGCAGCACCAGGGAGGTCACCAGCCACAGGGCGGAGCCCTGAGGAAAAGCTTCGGCCTTCCCTGATGCCTGTTGCTGAGGGTGTCAGGGAGCAGTTGCTGCAGTCACGGGTGCCCAGGGACAGAAGAGGACTTGGCAGCCTTTACTCAAAGAAAAATAAGCCTGAGGTTCACAGATGGGGTTTAATATCAAAACAAAAGCCCAGGTTAGGGCCAGCGATCGTGCTGTGGAAATGGTCAATCTGCAGAGAGGCACTCGGACTCGGATTCAAAACCCAATTGGGCTGAACTGGGCCTTCTTGCCTTCCATTCCCGAGACCCAGACAGATCCCCTCACTCTGAGGGCCTCGGTGTTACTTCTGTGAAATAAGGAAACTCAACAAGCATGAGGTTCAGAGAGGTTGAGAGCCGTGTACCTGGCGTGGGCAGGGAAAGGCCCAGGGACGCAGGCACAGGGGCCTTGTGCCCTTGGCAATGCCACTGAAGGCTGCCGAGCGGGGTCCACCCTCCAAGTCACCTGCAGCACTCCACTCTGGGCTCCCCAGTGACCTGCCAGGCAGAGGAGGATACCGTGTCAGGAGGAGGTGGCCTGGCTGCGGTTCAGTCCCGGGGCTGCTGGCCCAGCCTTGCCCGGGCCTCTGTCCCAGGAGGCTAGAGGCTCAGGAGTCAGGCTTGCTCCTGTGAGTCCCTGGCTGGGGCTGCCTTGCTCCCTGGGTCCCTTCATGTCACAGGACACCTCATGCTCTTCCCTGCCTTCTCACCTAGCTCCACTGCACTGGGACAGGGACTGGGGATCCCTCCACCCACCTCTCCACAGGAGGACGACTGGGGTCTCCTTTCCATTCGCGGGAGCAGGAGCAGGGGCACCGGGAGTACACGCAGCTCCCCACCCACAGCACCTCAGCACATCCCAGCGCACGCCCTCTAGCCTCCCTGATCCCTGGGGATAAAGGCCACTGGCTGGGCCCTGACTCTGACCCTCAGGGCAATGAGGGACCAGCGCCCCACCTCGGCTCCCCAGCACTCTTGCCAGTGGGTTCACTTCATCTCCTGTGCACAGTGCACCTCCAGACCAATGAGGAAGGCTGTGGAGAGGAGGTGAGGCCTGTACCCACGTTCCCTGCACACAGTAGGTGCCGTGTATGTGTTGCAGAATCCAAGGGCACATCAATAGAGGGCCATCTGCAAACAGGGGCAGGGGTCCCTGCAATGGGATCCTGTTTTGTAATGAGCACATTCCTGGCTGGTGAGGCGGAGCCTCCTGGATGCAGGTTCTCAGAACTGACAACAGGAAGTCTGGGGAAACCAGGACACTTTTGTTTGCTACACCTAACGGTCTCCAGGAGGCGCTTCTGCTGATTCTCATTCCTGGGCTTCATGCCTTGCCTCTCACCCCAAGTCCCGGCTCCCTGGGCGCCTCGGCATCCTGGTTCAAACACCTTCCTCCTGGTCTAGTGAGCAAATTGCTGCCCTCTCCAACAACTGCAAACAACCAGGTCTCTTCTACGAGACTCCTCTGATGTCCCCACCTAACGTGGGCCAAACAATGTGATCCACTCCTGACGTCATGCCTCACTCTTCAGAGGGGGAGAGAGAGAGGGGGACTGGGACAGGGAGAGGGAAGAGGAGAAGTGAGAGAGAGAGAGACATACCAGATGTTTAGAGTCTAACATCTGATGGGCGGAGCTGCAGGCTGGAGGCCCAGAGAAGCCCCAGTTCAAGTCCAAAGGCCATCTCCTGGCGGAATTCCTTCTTGCCCCAGGAAAACCAGACCATGTTCTCTTAAGGTCTTCACTGATGGCACAAGATGGCATTATGGAGGGCAATTGATCTGATCTATAGACTTCAATATTGATCTCACCAGAACCAGCCTTGCAGAAACATCTAGAATCATGTTTGACCAAATGTTTGGATCCTGTGGCCCACAAAATATGACAC